GACAACGTTAGGATCCAATGAAAGAAAGTAAAAATTTGTAATTTCATTTTCCTTTCGGGGAAAGCCCAATAAATTAGAAAATTTTTGGGGGTTGTTAAATTTTGGGAAAAAGAAAAAAATTTTGTAACTGCATTTCCTTATGAAAGTTCTAATAAATTAGTAATAATTTTTGTATGTTGAAAATTTTTTTTGTGGAAAATTAAAGTCCTAGAATAAGATTTTTTAGATAGGTTCGTAAAATACAAGTAATGATAAGTGTCTCACGCAGTGGTGTGGTGGAGAATATTAAGGCCCCCTGCATAGTCGGTTTTGAGCCGCGGCAAGCTGGAACAAGCAAACTTTTGTGCTCCCTAGAACCTGGGCACGGAAGTTCTATTAAACCGATAAGTTCGAAGTTATAGAGCCTGCAGGGAACAGAAGTTCTATGTAATCATGAAATTATTAGAGAAATAGTAAAAGTTCATTAAACTGTTCATTTTTGTATTGAAAAATTTCACATTAAAAAGCCAAAATTACTTTCTTACCAACTCAGTAGAAAAAGTATTCTCTCTTTGCTTACAAACTGTCATTCCGGTTACAATGCCAATACTCTTTGGGCAGAGGAAAGATATAGACAAAGAAAGGGAGAGGAGAGAGATAGACAAAGAGAGGGAGAGTAGAGAGATAGACAAAGAGAGGGAGAGGAGAGAGATAGACAAAGAGAGGGAGAGGAGAGAGATAGACAAAGAGAGGGAGAGGAGAGAGATAGACAAGAGAGGAGAGGAGAGAGATAGACAAAGAGAGGGAGAGTGAGGAGATAGAGCGAAGAGAGGGAGAAAGGAAGAGATAGACAAGAGAGGGAGAGAGAGATAGACAAGAGAGGGAGAGGAGAGAGAGAGAAACAGAGAGGGGAGGAGAGAGGGAGAAGTGAAAACGGAGGGAGGGTAGTAATGAGAGATTTTTCATAGGAAACAGGAGAACCTGTTATCTCCTGTTGCAATGAATTAGCATAGATATTTGTCTCCCCTTAATAGTAAATAATGAAATGATATATAAATTGTCAAATGATAATTTCAGCTGGTTTATTACAAATTTATTCGTGCTTATGCCATTTATTTTTCAATATATTGCGCATATCCTTATGCATGTAAACTGAAACATTCATGTAATCGATTGAAAAAGGGTTTAATTTTTTAATATAACCTATATTGAGTTTATGAATCCTTGGGTACAATTTAACTTTGAAAATATTTAAGGGAAATGCCGTTTCTAAAATGACTGTAGAATGCTTGAACTGTGTATTTCTAAATAATTTGTCTCTAATTTAACTCATTTCTAGGATTCTTGATTCAGTTAAGGTAATGTATCAATGGATGTGTAATTTTTTAAAAAGAATTTTGTTACGTGTGATTTTAAACAATTTAAAAACATAAAAAATTTTTAACTACAGTCGAACCTTTATATAACGAACATCTATATTGCGAATTTTTCTACAGAGCGAACTTTTTCCTGGAACCTTGAACATTTCACGATTTTCTTCGTAAAATAACCTCTCTATAGTGAAGTGCATTTTCTATAGAACAAACTTTTTCTTTTGTGATTCAATTTTTGTTCTCCCCTTTTTTTTTAGAAATATTTCTGAAAAAAATTTCAAGTTATTCTCTCTTTAACACATTTTATGCGGGTCATAAATCTTGAACTGGTTTTATTAGATCCTTAACTTGCCGAGAGCAACAAAGTTCTGGACGTTTCATTCAAGAAGTGTAACGTTACACTTCCATTGCCCAGTTCATTAGAAACATCTTCGATATCCTCTTTCACCCTCAGTGGCATTGTCCCGTGTCCCCGTTTTCTAATTATAAAATAATTTATGTTTATATTACTTGTATGCTTTAAATTATAAAATGTCCTTAAAATTCATTAATTTTAGTATAAAATTATTTTCTTAATATTGAAAATTCGACATTCTTTTTTCTTGTTTTCTTTGCAGTTTTTCTTTCTTTTTTGATGGGTAAGATATATAAAATAAACACATGTTAATTTTAAAAAAGGTGTGAATAATTACTTTTTTTAATGTATATAGTGTTTATGAATTTAAAATTTGTTCTATGGGATTTATAAAGTATATTAAGAGATGAGCCTCTATAGAGCGAATTTTCCATATAACGAACTTTTTTCTGGCTTTTAGTGACTTCGTTATATAGAGGTCCGACTGTAGTTAAATTTGCTGGTGTCGAAATAGGCATGAAATAGTCACACGCAATTTTAATATTATGAAAAAAAACTCCTTCCATTAAAAATGTATGTTCCTTTTTCAAATGTGTTTCAAGATATCAGATGTTATGTACTATGCATTGGTACGTTACCTTTACAAAGTAAATTTTTTTTTAAAAAATTTTCCAGTTTTTAAAAATGAAATGATATATATAAATATATCTAAAAAGCATTCGCCATACATATTTTTTACTCTAAAATTATTTTGAACTCACGAATATACATATGAAACTTCATATGTTCTTCATAATCGATGTTTTCTATTTAACAAACGTGAACCCCTTTTCAGGATTGTGTTTTCTTTCGAGTTCCTTTTTTTTATCCCAACTTTTAAGGGTTCTTTTTGTTGAATGTGTTATTATATGCGCCTGATGTGTCCCAGCTATAAGTGTGAAACCTATCTCGTTCTGCAAAATAACTCAAATGCAAACATTGGAAACCAGCACTTTTCTCAAAATCAATGCGTAGTCGATTTCCAATCCCACGAAATCAATTTCAAATTGTGTATTTAGAATACCAAAAAAAAAGTCATTACTTTAAAAAATATGAAATGTGTTTTTTTATTTGAGAGATTTTGAATTTACATTTATTTTCAAGGCGATGGCATCTTCTCGAAAGTAGAATAGCACGGAAAATCGAACTGTTGTTTTATTTATTTATTATTTATTCGAATTTCTTTCTTAGCTTAGCCGTATACACACGCACAGGGCGGAATATCACGGAAATGTTTAATTTTTTTAAATAAAAAAATTTGTAATGAAATTACACAAACTAAACCTTTTAAAAGACTTATTTTTCAGTTCCTACTATTAGCTCACACTCTCTCTATATATATTTATTTATTTATTTATCTTGGTGGAATTTTCAAGCATTAATAAAATACATTTTAAAGCGCTCCATTGAGCTGAAATTTTATATACATGATTATTTTAAATGACAATACAATAATTTAATTATAATTAATAAAAATTAATTGATTAAAACTAATTATTTAAAGAATTACAAATACACACAGCCACGTTGGCTTCCTTTTTGGCGATTTGTGTCAAAACTTGAAAAGGTTTTTTTTCCCTCACTTTTTAAAGCATTCAGTTGAACTGAAATTTTATACACACGATTGTTTTGGATGACAATACGATACTTTAATGATAATGAATAAAAATGAATGACCACTTAATGTCGTGATTCTGTCCTATGTATATACATATTTGTATTAATTGTAACTATTTAATAAAAGTAGCTAAAATAAAAATTTTCTTTGTTGATCTAAATAGGAATTGATTTAATTTTTTTGTGTTACTTGTTTTATCTTTAAATGTAACATATTGCGACTTTTATTCGAAATGATCCCCTTTGGACTTTATACGGACCTTTGGCAAATCATTCATTAAGGCACGCACTATCTCCATTGAAGTTCCAATCATAGTGTAGCGGTATCTACTTAAGCCAGTAACAACCTCCGGACAAGAGTCACTTTTGTCTTGTGGTATGTTACGTGCTTACGAATTAGAGGGTATCGAGTTCTAATCTCCGATAATAGTAACTTAATGACTTGTAATGTGATTTTCACGCTTTTATGACAAAAATGAATCTCTGAGCCGCCTTCATAGCAAGCACATAACATCACCGTTACTGAAATCGGAGGATGAGCTCTCTGCATGTACTTTTCAATTCCTACTATTAGTTCACTCTCTCCCTATATATATATATCTTGTTCAAATTTTCAATCGTTAATAAAATACTTTCTATTCATCCATTCAATTTCAAATACATTTTTTTAAACTTGTAGTGGAAGACACTTGAGGTTAATACAGTTTTTACAAATATTAATGCATTCATTTAATTAAAAAATGAATAAATAGTAACAAACACAATTAATAGTCCAGCAACATATATAGAAAGGAAAATCTTTCGTTGTGTTCCTGTAGCGCAAAGGGTAACGCGTTGGACTTCGTATCGAAAGATCGTGGTTTCGAATCCCACCTGGGATGTCCTAATTTCTGAGACTGATTCCTTTTTTACTATGCTATTTTATTAGAATTATTAAATTTAATGAATGAATGAATAAATAGTAAACAAAAAATAATAGTCCAATCTCCTATATAGAAAGGAAAATGGAAAATCACTTTCTATTTTGCCACTTAACAGTGTGATTATGTCCTATGTATATATACATATTCATATATGTGAATTGTAACTATTTAATAAAAAGTAACTAAAATAAATTTTTTCTTTGTTGATCTAAGTAGGAATTGACTTAAATTTTTTTTTATATTACTTGTTTTACTACGTTCGACACATTTTTTTTAATAGTCTCATCTGTTTAGAACAGTGTTCCTCAAACTGTGAGGCGCGCTCCCCTAGGGGGCATGATAACCCTACAAGGGGGGCGCGAGCATGTCGAAAATAAAAGATTATTTAAAAATTACGAATATAATAAAAGGAAACAAAACAAAATATATCCTGACATAATAAAAAATAAAATACACATTTACTCTGATATACTATAATATATACTATATTTATAAATGTATCACAGTACGGCACAATATATTTGATACTAATTACCAATACTAAGTTAAGAACAAGTTAAATAATTACTAGTGATTCTTCCACATGAGCTTATCATATACAAAATTGTATGCAAAATTTAATATTTTTATTGATAATTTATACGGTTTTTAATGTAGATCATATTGTAGCTTTAGCATTAAAGTATATTTTTTATTATTGGATTCAATGCATTGCTATTGTATGGGGGGGGGAAAATTATGATTGAAAATTGGGTCGCCAATACTCGAAGTTTGAGAAACACACTGGCTTAGAAAGAAGAATCTTCTTTCCACTAAGATTTTGATGAGTACTTCAGGCCGCGATAGCCGAGTGGTATAGGTATCGGAGTGTGGCTTGCCTTGTCACGAGTTCGAGCCCAGTACGACTGAAGACCCGCCGTGTAGGGCAGTGATGCACGTTAAATCTGTCGAGAGCTGAAACGTCCTCCCGTGGTGTGGTGTGGTAGTTAGGAGAGGGGGTGCCAGCTCAGATGTCGTCCACGTCCCTTGACCATTGCTCAAAATTGCGTCGTCCGTCGCCAAAAGCCCTCGTGTAGCTGAACAGTGCGACGTTAATATTAAATCAATCAATCAATTCGACGAGTAATTCTCCTGACTGCTTTGACGAGAGCTGTTCCTACCGAGCATACACGATAACATACAGTGGCGTAACGTACACCCACGCATCGTGGGGGTGGGCAGGATTCTAGGGGCCTAAGGCCTATGTTATGTTATGGTTTTGCAATACTTTGTAAAATCCGACTTGTGGCCCAGAACCTGACTTTACAGGGAGACCCTAATATTCTCCTTTATGCCACTGACCGCATATACTATACTGCATCCGAAAACTGTTCAGTCATTTCCGGCTCGAAAAACCGCGAAATGACTTGAAGAAATTTGGTTTTACAGGATCACGCTACTACAGAAACTCAAACCAGCCGTTCTATTGCTGCACGAAGGCTTCACGAGGTTAGACCATACGTCAGAACGCCACTGATTTGAGAGTCACACTCACTCCAACTGCTAAAAAGGCGCATCTAAACTGGAACCGTCGTCATATTCAGTGGGGTCAAGAAGACTGGGTCCCAGTATTAATTACTGACTGAGATATAGTTTGTGTGAACACAGATTCTAGACGTGTTTTTTAATCTGGAACCGTCAATTTACAGTCGCTAATCTGTATAATACAGTGCTTCTCAAAGTTTCAATATTGTCGACCCAATATTGAATTATAATTTTCATCGCGCCCCCTCCCGTTCCATACAATAACAATGTATTGAATTCAGTAATACTTTTCTTTGACGCTAAAGCTACAATACGACTTTAACCTCTTAAGTACCACCGGCGTATATAAAAGTCTCACTCAGCCAAAGCGTTAATTGCAACGGACGTATATATACGTGTTTTCGAAGTACGATCTTTTCTGTGCACTGCTATCCATAAAATTATTCCGAAGGCTTTGGAATGCAATAAAGGGGACCTTGACAGTGTTTATGGAAAGGATTTTACTTATTTCAAGGATTTTTTATTTATTCCTTTTCTCCTCTCCTCCAAAAAATGCAATACCGTCGCCTACGTGGAAAAATGTTTTGGGTTAGGGAGCGAATTGCGTAACTTTTAATCGGCAGTAGGGATTAATTGTAAACCGTACACCATTATCAAGATGAGGGTTAATTTTTTACTTTTTATGTATGACAAACCCATAGGCTGGTATTATTAATGTTGTTTTGACTTAGTATTGTTGAATTAAGTACATTGTGTGCAGTACTGATACATTTATAAGTGTATTATATCTGAGTTAATGCGTATTTTATTTTTTATTATGTCAGAATGTATTTTGTTTGTTTACTTTCAGTAAATTAAAAAAAAATTTTAAAAATAATCTTTTGTTTTCAACTTTTCAATTTGCTCGCGCCCCTCTTGTAGAGTTATCACGCCCCCTAGGGGGCGCGCCCCACAGTTTGATAAACACTGGTATAATATCCTGTTTCCACGACCATGGTTTAACAACCATGGACCAAGGAATCATAAAAAATGGCTACACCGAGCTTCATATTTTTCAAGAAGGTTCTGTAACCACTCGAAGATATGTGGACGAGAGGTATCGGAATCCAAAGTTAGACTACTTGGGGGATATTGTTGGCCCAGAGTGTTTGTTAATGGATGACAGTTCTCGACTACATCGTGCACATGTGGTATCAGAATACTTTTAAACAGAAGATATGAGTACTTGAATGGATTGGCCACCTTACTCACTCATCTTGAGACTGATTGAGCATGCGTGGGAGGCATTAGGGCACGGAATGTCAGGGCACCAAATTCCTCCACAGACTTTCCAGGAACTGAAAAGTATTGTTACGTGGATCGGGAGCTCGAGGATTTTATGCAAATCAGTCGCAAAGAACAAGACAGTTCTTCAAGAGCGATGAGAATTTATTGTCGAAAATTCAATCCTTGAGAAATACAGGATTCAGCAGCAATATTCGCAGAATAAATCTCAAAAGGTCTTCACACCTTCAGCAGCACTGAGACACAATTATCGGTGTCTAAAATACACATACACATATATGAATTCCTAGTTTTAAGACCCATTTCAAATAAAAAAAAGTGTTTATTTAGTTGAAAATTCCCATATTTAAAAAAAAAAGTGTTCCGAAGGTAGTCACTTACCTTAACCACTTCCTGACGAGTTCTCCGTCAAAAATTAATCTTAAGATACGCTACCACACCAATCTCTGCTAGCTAACACTTGGATTTCAGTTTAACAATCAACTCTTAACCATTATCTCGCGTTCTCAACGACTGGCACTTATATAGTAGTTACATTTGCATAACTGACTGCGGTGCCGTAGGGCCTGGGTTCAAATCCCGGAGAAGGCATGGATGTTTGTGAATACACAGTGCTTTCGTGGCATGGGGGCACTCTAAATAGCAGTCGAGCCGCAAGTCCTCTCGTGAGGTTGTGGAATGGGAAGAGAGATGGGAGGCCTCTGACCACCTCCAGGGTGTTCTCCCTCAAAATTTGGGTGGAAAAGAGCAAAATGGTACTGTCACCTGCATAGTGCTCAAAGCTAGGGCTAACGAGAGGCGTGGCCTTAGCCACGATGAATTTCGTGGGTCTTGATCTGATGTTACTGTGGATCAGATGGCATAAATAATAATAATAACAACAACAACACACTTGCATAAAATCAAGTCATCTGAAACGAAAATTTTTTTTTTCCCCCCCTTTTTTGGGGGGGGGTTGGGGGGGGGAAATTAAAAAAAAAATTTTTTTTAAAAAAAAAAAAAAATTTTACTTTTTTAAAGGGGTTTTTTAAAAAAAAAAAAAAAAAAATTTTTTCCCAAAAAAAATTTTTTTTTTTAAAAATTAAAAATTTAAAAAAAAAAGGTTGGGGTTTTAAAAAATTTAAAAAACCCCCCAAAAACATTTTAAAAATTTTTTAAAAACCCAAAAATAAAAAAAAAAAAAAAAAAAATTTTTTTGGGCCCCCCTTTTAAAAAATTTTTCCCCTTTTTTTTTCCTAAAAATTTCGCCTTTTTTTTTTAAAAAAATTTTTCCCCCAAAAAAAAAAATTTTTTTTCCCCCCTTTTTTTTAAAAAAACCCCCTTTTAAAGGAAAAAATTTTTTAAAAAAGGGGGGGGGTTTTTTTTTAAAAACCGAATTTTTTAAAAATTTTTTTTTTTTTTTAAAATGGGGAAAACCCAACCCCCTTTTTTTTTTTTTTTAAAATTTTTTTTGGGGGTTTTCCGGGTTTTTAAAATTTTGGGGGAAAAAAAATTTTCCCCCTTTAAAATTTTAAAAATTTTAAAAAAAAAATTTTTTTTTAAAAAAATTTTTTTTTAATTTTTTTTCCCTTTCCAAGGAAAAAAAAAAAAAAAAAAAAAATTTTTAAAAAAATTTCCCAAAATTTTTTTTAAAAAATTTTAAAAAATTTTTTTTTTTAAAAAAAAAGGAAAGGGAAAAAACCCTTTTTAAAAAAAAACCCAAAAAATTTTTTAAAAATTTTTAAATTTCTTTTTTTTTCCCCTTTTTTTTTTTTTGAAAAAAAGGGAAAATTTTTTAAAATTTTTTTTAAAAGGTTTTTTTAAAAAATTTTTAAAATTTTAAAAAAAAAAAATTTTAAAAATTAAAAAAAATTTTTTTTAAAAAGGAAAAACCTTTTTAAAAAATTTTTTTTTTTAAAAATTTTTTTAAAAAAATTTTTAAATTTTAAAAAAAAAAAGGGGGAAAAAATTTTAAATTTAATTTTTAAAAAGGTTTATCCATGTTTTTTTCGAAAAAAGAAGGGGGAAATTTTAAAAAAATACGCCTAATTATTTCAAATGGTTGTAACTCTGAAAATAATTTTTAATTTTTTTAAAACACATAGTTGAGCCTCTGTACAGAAGGGGGGGGAGGGATATACAGGCAAAAATTAATAATGAAGGGGATTTTT